CAATCGCCTGATTTTTCATCTAAATTTCCATCTGTTTTTGACTTCAATTTTTCCCCAAAAGATGAACAATGATCACATGTCAACGAATTTATCGTGCATCGTTTTCTTATTCCACATTTTTCTCCTTCAAGAAACTATTTAAACGTACAAAAAAACAAATATATATATAATTATATATATATAATTTATAACTTTTTTTATTTTTAAGTAATTAAGATAAATGAGAAATATAATTGAAAAAAAGATAGAAAAGATAAAAAAAAATATATATATAAATAAAAGGATATCTATCTGGATTATATTATTTTTCATTTACTTGTTGATTATGAAAAAGACATTTATTTTCCAGATGCAATTTCTCATTATAATCAGACTTTGGTACAAAATCGAAATTGTTCTGGTTCTGTGAATCGTTCATATTCAAGAAGCAGGATACACGATTGATCGTAGATTGATCACTTTCAGTACACATAATCCTGATTTTTCTTTTAATACGGCACAATACATGTACAATGTAACACCAGTTATAATTTGTTCTTCTTGATCGTAATAGCGGCGTAAATATTAATTAATTTTCATTTCTATTCATCCTGAGAGGAGATGTTTGCTTTGAAAATGAAAATACGATGAAATTATCAATTGCACCTAATATCACTTGACAACATAGTATATATACGAGATTCATTTAAATTCGATTATTTTTGGTTTCGTACATACAGATTTCTTATGTTCCTACACATTATTAAAATAAATAGCGCACAAATTTACATACTCGTTAGAACTTTATTTTATATATTGTCATGTGACTAACAATAAGACAACCGACAACATAGAGTAGTTTTTTAAGAAAGCCGCTGATTACAAACGTTTATACAAATTCATTCCCAAGTGTTATATGTATACGTATCTATATATATTCATATATATAAGGTGTATCGAAAATTATGATAAAAGTCAAAAAAGGATGATTTTATGTGAAAAAATTTTTAAAGACTTCGTTTTTGAGAAAATCAAGTTTGGAATATCTTGTCAAGTACTTTGTCAAATAAACTTGATTTTTTCGAAAACTTAGTTGTATAAGAAATTGTTATTCTACATACATATTGGATATACTTTTATACAATAAACAACCTTATTATGACTTATACCACGACTTTCAATACACTACACATATATATTTGATACTTATGTATCAAGATAAAACGTGATGTAAAAACAA